CATACCTCACTAAGTAAATCCACACTATTACGTTCAACTATGGCATGATTATATCAGCATTATTCATGTACATGTATCTATGTTATTATAAATATCTAATGTCTTTTTATTAACTCGAAATGGCTGCCAGAAATTGCATTTGATATTGGTAAATGTGATAATCAACAAATGGAGTCACCAAAAGAACAAGTAATCTACACAAAATTAAATAAATGCTTATTTGCAAAATAAATTTAAAAACTATTACATAGCAAGTAATTCTTTGCAGGATCCATTAAATCTACTTTAATCAGACTATTTTCATGCTGTGATTCACATTCTCTAATCTTCTTCAGCCTACAATGCAATAAACAATGAGTATACTAGTGTGATTTATGTATTGTACTAATAAAAATTGGAAATATCAAGTCTTTGTAAACTTATTAATCAAGAAGCATCATAGTAAGTGGTTTTTAGGACACTATATTTAGTGAATTCTGCTAAATTTCCACCTTGCAAACTTTAATTTTGCAAATTCTACCATGTGCCAATCAGGTACAGTACTAAACTGATTTTGGGAGCTTTATTTTTGTAAATCAAGAAGGAATCTGTGAAGAGAAATAAAATGCCTGCTATGCATGCAAGTTACGAAAAAATCTTAGGAATATTTTTACACTAAATGTCAAGATCATGAAACATGAAGTTTACTGACCTTGCTTTCTCTGCCTCTTGTATTTTTGATCTCTCCTTAAAGATCTGTTAACACTTCTATTGTCTCTCTATTGTCTCTAAATGATCATAAACAGTATGAATAATGTTTGTGTGTGTGTTCATTAGTACTTGTAATATATGACACATCCATCACCAAATAGTCTTAATGAAGAAGATCTGTCTGAAGTGATGGAATACCATTTCAACTTTTCTCAATATCAAGACATGATATCTCAACTGGAAATAACATTCCCTAATAGTTAGAGAGGGAGTATCTTTAATATATTTTAATGATTAACCTCTGTATGATAGATGTACTCCATAGGAATTCCACTAAACTCTGACACCTGTAAAACAACAATAATAATAATGTAATACTGATACATTTATACAAACATTTATACAATCAATCTTTATTATAATAGCTATACCTTTTTAATAACATTCTTAGAACTACACGTATCTATAATTCCTTCTATTGGATCAACTGAACATTGTGATGGATGCCATCTTATAACATACACCTGTATCTGTCCATCATACTTCTTCTCTGGTCCTAAAAAAATATTAATACAATAACATAAAATAAACGGCTCCAAAATTTGTCAGGCATTTTTATATGGGTAGCATGCAGATCTATAACAAAATTATTTTATTGACAAAAATTAATTTGAACAAGAAAATAAGATTTTGACTAATGAAAATTTGGAGCTGTATGGTATGGTGTATAATAAAAATATACTGAGATACCGTATGGTATAGTGCATTAATTAGGTAGAGTTTTATTTTGGCAATTGGTTTGCAAATCACCAATATTAAAACTGCCAATAATTAATGTGCATGTTCTGTAATGTATGTGTACACAAATATGCCAAATTTAAAATTGCCAATTATAATTTTACAGCAAAATTGTCCGAATAAAGCGCCACCAAAATAAAGTGCTATATGGCATATTGACCTTTCAATGTTTCCACATACATTTCCCTACTAGCATTAACCCGCTGATCATCAAGATATACTGTACCAGGGACACTCCATTCTTTTTACGTAATCTCATTCTACACAATGAGTAAAATGATACTCACATGATGTACGTACTTGTCTAATTCAAGGACACAGTCAATTCCTTGTACTTTTGCTTCTTCAATAATTTGTTTCTTAAATTCTCTCACTCGTGTATCCACAGCAACAACAGACTCCATCATATACTTACAAAAGTGGCATGGCTAAAGCAAATGGATAATGTTGATAAGAAAGGAGGAGCAAATTATAATGCATTGGTAGATGCTCTTGTAAAGATTGATCATAAATCAGTAGCTGAAAGTATAGGTGATACTTTCTGCTAATTTTAACTGAATACCTTTATTATAGAAATAAAAGACCATATACATTAGACAATGTAAGATCTTTGTATGTATATGTACATGTAAATAGTATCAAAAAACAAAACATTTCTTTTATACATGCATTAAAACTTATCTCAGTCTATTTTAAATATTCTACCATAAAAATTGAGCCCTACAATAAATATAATTTTTAACAAAGCAAAACCAATAAATTATCTTACATAATTAGATCTATATAATAATAATAATATTTAATAATATAAACAAAAAACGAATACATAACCACATGTATAAAATTAAAAAACCAATTTAATTCAGTCAGTACTAAAATGATACCATCCTAACATGATACAGTCCTAACACGATATAATGCTTCCAAATATTCATTAATTCTCTTCAACCTATGTAATAAATGAGTTCAGAAAGTATTATCAATGTCACAGTGACACAGATATAGGGACATTTTCTATGGAATAAAAATTAAGGCTGACAGGAATGGACTATTATACTTTAGAATGAACAGGAGTTAATTCCAGCAAATATATTAACCTTTTTATTAAATTTGTCCATATGGAGAAAACTTAGTATAGGAAATTTGAAATTTCCCATTCCCCTATGATTGTAACTAAAAAGCTTAGTTAATGGACAAGGTAATTGACCAAGGTGCATTTACAACAAAAGTAATTTTATATTTTTACTATTCACAAAATTTTGGGCTGCAAAAATTTCTACATGTACATGTAGCTTATGTATAATGGCATTATGTACTATTAACTTATTGTACATGTACATAATGAAAGATGAGCTTTACTGACCTTGCCTCCTCTGCCTTTTGTATTTCTGTTCTCTCCTCAACTGTTAAACTTTTCATTTTCTCTCTGTTGTTTCTAAATAATTATAAACAGCATGTAAGTGTATGTGTGTATGTTTTCAATAGTACTTGTAATATATGACACATCCATCATATAATAAGTGCATCTGTCTAGGTGAATAGTCCCATTTTAACTTATTCTCAATATCAAGGCATGATATGCTAACTGGAAACACCATTGAACCCTATATCCAGACAGAAGATCATTGATAATGTTTCAATATCAATGACTATTACCTCTGCATAAGAGATATACTCAGCAGGAACTCCACTTAACTCTGACAGCTGTAAAAAACAACAATAATGAAAAATATACCCACCCACACCTACTCACTGTCTGTCAATAATCTTAATATAATGTACAGTACATATATAAAGTTAAAATCAATACAATAGTACACAGTTTATTACTAATGAATTAATATTACAAATGAGAATCAAGGATAAAATCACAATTAAATACTGTATAGCTTGAAATTTTTGTGGAATGTAAATTTCGTAGTTTTCGTGGTTATGGGGCTGCATGCCCACGAAATTTAAACCCACAAAATCATTGAAGTGCCATCCCCTTACAGGCTATATAAACTGTCAACCACGAAAATTAAACCACGAATTGCCCCACTAGGAGCAAACCACGAAAATATCGACCCATGAAAATTTCAAGCTATACGGTAGTCATGATCTCAACACTATCTTAAACCCATAGTATCATTATCTAAATTTCTTTTATACCTCTTCAGAATAATGATAATCATTATCCAGTATAATTTCTTCTATTGGATCAACTGAACATTGTGATGGACGCCATCTTATAACATATACCTGTCTCTGTTTTTTCTGCCATTTTTTCTCTGGTCCTAATGAAACATATAAAAATTACCAGTAACCATAAACACATCACATAAAGTTTAGTACACACTATACTGACCTTTCAAAGGTTCCACATATATTTCCTGACTAGGATAAACAATCAACTCATGATTAAGATATACTGTATCAGGAGATGCTCCTTTTTTTTCACGTAATCTCATTCTACATAATGAGTCACATGATAGTCACTACCATAGGGTGCCTTTGTTTGAGGGCTATATATTTCACAAAATTCGTTGCTATTCGCGAAAATAAATGTCTCAAATTAATTGTTTGTGTGTGAAAAATTCAAATTCGGGATAAAATCGCAAAATTTAATACAGTGAATTATATATCCACTAAGCCTATAGCCCTCAAAAAAACGCACCCTATGATATTTACTTGTCTAATTCAAGGACACAGTCAATTCCTTGTACTTTTGCTTCTTCAATAATTTGTCTCTTAAATTCTCTCACTGGTGTACCCACAGCAACAACAGACTCCATCATAAACTTACAAAACTAAAATACAAAATAATATTACAATTATTACATAATAATAAAATAATTCTTCTTACCTCAGCACTATTGACTTGTAATAAATATAAGTTAATCCTGTACTTATTTTCCGGTAATGCTCCTCCTACTAGTCTTACTATCAACTAGGAGTAATTAAAAAATGTGTTATTAACCCTCCCCTTCTTCATTTATCATGGGCTCCTGTTAGTATACTTTGATATAATGGAAGTGAAATACTATAGTGTACTTTAGAACTATATGCTAAAAATGTACAAATACCACTGTTTTGTTTTAAGTCTAGTACAAACTACAGATATTACAACTATAAAACTAGAACTAAAACTTTTTAACCCATTGTACTAGAACCAACCATCACTATTAAATGCACTAAACTACAATGCACAACTGTACCTCTGTTCCAGAATGCATATTCATTAATTTCTCATCCAGTTTCTCCATGTCATACTCTTTATAATCACTGATTCTATACACTCTAAAACCAGTAGGTGGTACACCAATCAGTGCAATTAACTTCTCCTTCAATTGAGCTAATGTTATTCTCCCATCAACTTGTACCTTTATCTCTGTATATTGAATATAATATAATGTTAAATGTTCTTTTTCGTATAATATTACTTCTTTCTTTTTCTTTATTCTCTTTATTCATTGATATAATTTTCATCATTGTTTCTCCTCTAATTACATCAGTTGTAGTGCGAGTGCCTTCAGATTGAGGAGGTATTGTAATGTTCAGTAGCACTGAGTTGAGGTGAAAATCAAGACAAAAGTACATCAAACTATCTTTGAATTTATTTTGATAATCTTCAGGATCTGATGATACATAGAACTAAGAAGAAAGGGGAGAGCATGTGCACCGCATGTGTAAGTGAATGCATTAACAGGAAGGAGGAGGAAGAAGACACAATAAATTGTTAAAATACTATGAGTTTTAGTTTACATGTAGAGCATTTCAAGGGTAATCCTAAGTAAGCAAAATTTTATATGGATACAGATCATTATGTATGTGTTGGATCTAGCGTAGTATCATAGGCGACAGCAGAATCTGAAGAGTAGTTATGCAGAAAAAATGGTGCGTAAAATGTACTGTAATTTTGGCGAAATTCACTTTTTGTGCATATTCTGAGCGTATACTCAACTCATGCATACATATGATACACCATAAATATATGCCCAGAAGGTGCCCTATCTTATCTGTAAAGCTCTATCCAACATGTAAAGTGCTAGTCCTGGTCCTCTTGGAAGGCTTGTTGAGAAAGAAAAGCAAAAAAGACTGTCTCTTGCCAGCCATGGTAATTTTTCATGACCAAAAATGATCATTAATTCATTTCTCATTTCTGGTCAAAATTCTTTGTTGGGCATTGCCTATCCATGCCTGAGCTTGCCACTGCCTATGCATATTATTGTGCAATCTTATTCACAAACCAAGCATGCAGGATCCATTGCAAGTCCTGTTATTCAAAAATGAACTTATTACACACGACATACATGTACAACAGACAAAAGTAGTTGACTTAAGTACTAGGACCGTAGCCAGGAACTTGAAACAGGGGGTTTGGAAATTGCTGCACGTGAAGTGCGCAGTGAAAATTTTGGCAAAATGGGCGTTGTTGGTGGGTGTGGTCTCAATTTATGCATCTCAGCCATGTGCTGACTCTGCTAAAATGGCTATTTGTGCTTCTCACTGCTGCCAAAATGCTAATCCTGCTTCTGCAGTGCTGTTCTTCAAGACAGGAGCTAATCTAAAACTTTTTGCAGCTACAACAGGGGGTTCATCTGAACCCCCCCTGGCTACGGGCCTGAGTACATACTACATATGTATGTTGGGCTTGCAGTTTAGGCTTATCTCATATACTGTATAGCTTGAAATTTCGTGGTTTTCATTGTTGTGGGGCTTCCCACAAAATTTAAACCTAGTAAATCATTGAAGTGCCATCCCCTTACAGGCTATGTAAACTGTCAACCACGAAAATTAAACCACGAATTGCCCCACTAGGAGCAAACCACGGAAATATATACCCACAAAATTTCAAGCTATACGGTATACAAGTAATTAGTAGTGATGGGCGATATGGCAAATTTTCTTAATTTTCGATAACTATCAATAATGGACTTTTAAAGGAAATATCAATTATTAACGATACAATAACCACACCTTCATTTTGGGGTGTGTCAAGGGTGTGGCTAATGATTTTAGGACAGATATAACTGTACTTGTCATGAGAGAAGATCATTTTTATGCTCTTGAGCTTGATTCTCTTCTTATTGAGGTAGGCTGAGCTAACAACTGGTCAGTTGCTTCTTTTTGCAGTTCCACAGTGCAAAACTCATTAAAATTAGTTATTTAACCTTAATAAATGGGTGTGGTAAATAGATTGTTGAAAATTGCATAAAATTTTCGATAATGATTCAAATTGATTCTGTAAAATATTGTTTATATCAATAAAGAATCAATATATTGCCCATCACATAATTAGCACTAGGACTTACTGTTGGTACAAGTTGCTGTCTGTCTCTTTCAACAAATACTTCCTTTAAGGAACTTATTTTGACATCTTCTTCTAAATGCACTAAATTCTGGACTAAGTGAGCTCCAACAAGTAACCTCATACACCATGATTTGAGATTACATAACTATACGTGTATATTAGAAAAGGGAGGTGAATGGTCCATATAACATGTAAATTACTCTCTTACTTCTCCTATATGTTGTTTAAATTCTCCAACAGTCCAACCTTCTTCAGCTCTCACTGGTTTAGCTGGCCCTACTTCAGCAGTTGACAGATCGACTACTGATATCGTTAGGTTAATACCTATGCCATCAAAAAATGCGGAGGCTTATCATGGTATCCAACCACACCAACCTCCATCATTGTATTTCTTAAAGCTTTCATTTTCTTTACAAGTTTCTAGGAATAATCCACAGTATCTAGCCATACCCATAAGCTGTCCAATAGTTTGATGCTGAAACTAAATTAAATAATAAAATAATTATAACCATAGAATAGTTTACCACATCAAGATCAAAGGACTGATCCATAACTTCACTAAATAAATTATATTTAACCAAACGACATCTCTCAATAGGAATATGAGGAGCTAGATGTGATTTCATTAACTGAGATGATTAAAAAACAAAAGTGAGAGAGAAAATAAGCAAAATATAATAAACCTTATAAGCTTTATCCAGTACTATGGGCAATAATTCATCTTTACGTACTTGAAACAGTGCACTGGTTAATTCACCAGTAACAGGATGGTTACAATATAATATGAACTATGAATTAAAAGTAATCAGTGTACTGGCTGTCTCAGTCTCACTCACTGTACAAATTTGATCCTCTTCATCACTTAGACTATCATGCTCAATCTCATCAATTTCAGACTCATCACCTTCAAAATCTAATCCGGCAACAATAAAATAATGACACACATGCATCATCAATAAACCTTCAATATCTTCTAGAATCTTCTCATTGTGTTTCCTTGCAGTAATTAGTTCCATATTTATTAATGTTATTCTTTCTTGTAATTTCTCTATTATTCTTTTATTATCTACTAATGGCTGATAGTCTGGTCTTGTCATTGCTTCAAGACAGCATTTGCAGTCATCAATTTCAAGAGACATTCCTCTTCTCACTTTGCTAGCAGCTTTAATTAATTATATAATTATTAGTATAATTAATAAAACTACTCTAACCTGAATCAGTATTACTAGAAAGTGATCTCAAATAATCAACCTTCATTTTTGATAAGTTGTCTGACAATTCTTTGTTTTCTTTTTGTATCTCATTAAACTGAGAGCTCAATACAGTCAACTCTTCATAAAGTGGTTCTTCCTATTAATAATAATTATATAATTAATACAAACTAGTAAGATATTCCTCAACTTCTTTAATTGATTCAGTATCACTTTGAACAGACAATGATTCTTCCTGCTATAAAAATCAAAATTTCATTTAAAAACATATAACTGATAGTCAATAAACATCAACCAAGAGTCATGCATAATTATGCAAAGAATTTAAGGTTCTGACCTCAGATACTTGAGCGACTAATATTTCTTGCTTCAATTCAATTGCTTCCTAAAAAGGTACATATTTATACAAGATTGCGTTGTATTTAGTCTGGTATAATATGACATACCATCTCTTGACTATTGATAACATCTCTTAGTCTATATTCAGCTTCTTCAAGTATAATATGAGAAATTACCTGTTAAAAGAGTTTCATGTATTCAAATTTACACATTAAAACATAAAATGAACTGCACACACTGTGACGTTGTACAGGTAATATAATGTGTATCACAGTAAATGATTTTATTAATATTAACTGACATCAGTATATTGTAGTGAGCCTTGGTCCTTTTCTTTTAGTTCCTATAAACAATATTCATAAAATATTCAATTATTCATAATGTACCTTTCGTCTAACGTCTTGTCTACTCCACAATTTTAAGTTACCAATAGTCAGTTTCTTTAATCCTTGTCCCATTAGTAAATGAATATTCTCTATCATCCTCAATACAGTAAACCCAACATCAGAGAAAGGAAAGGAGCAAGTGACAGATATTGAAGTACTTCGTTTTATATAGTCAATCTTTAGCAATTTACCAGACACTTTTGCAAGGAGCTCCAAGATATCCTTCAGTACATGTTCCTCTGGCTTCCAGTCAAAGATAAAAGTAACCGTTTCACATTCAAGATGAGGGATTAAAGCAAATCTTTCCTTTAAACAAAGACTGATAGAGAGCGACTTGCAGAATTCCTCTAACTCTGTTCTATAAGTCTTAATGTGCTCCTCAGCCTCACTGACTTTCATTTCCTCCACTACACTATGAAGAAGTGCAATATTAGTCAGTGAACACTCATTTTGAATTAGATGCAATACACTAGAAATATCACGACACTTCTTAACTTTTTTACTAAGAACAGTGCCACAA